ACACACACACACACACACACACACACACACACACACACACACCACACTCACACAGACATACCCCTTCTTCAAAAGTATATTAGCTATTAATATATTGGGTAGTCGGAAAAGTCATGCAAATTTTTTTTAAGTTTTTCGTTGCAAAAATGCATCATGACTTTTCCAACAACCCAATATTAGTTTTTGTTCTTTTTCCATTCAAATTTTAAAATTAGTTTATCATGATTCCCTCACCCCCCCCCCCAAAATAGCTGTTGGGATTTTAATTGGAATTGCCTTCAGTTTTTGGTAAATTTGGGAAGAACTGACATTTTTATGATAGTCTTCTTAATCCTTAAACACGGTACATAGCTCCATTTAGTTAAGTCTTCATTAATGTCTTTCAGAACAGCACATATAGGTTGTATTACAGTTTACATAAGTGAAAAGAAAATTTTAGCTAATAAATGATGTTCCCTTTATATACCTTTTTTTCTCTAAGTCTTATTACTATAATATGAGCAGTGGCACTGAATGACAGCTCCTCATGGATTAAGGAAATGGTTCCAAAATTTGTTGATGCTATAGCTCATCTCTAGTTTGACCTTTCCCACCCATCCACAGACACCTTTAATTTTCTAAAAATCTCAGAAGCAATAATAAGTTGCCACTTCACATAATATACAATTCACTCATCCTGTCACATAAATTGCAAACTACGTTAAACTTCTAAGGCCCAATCTAACTGTATCCAGAAGTTAGAAATTAAAATTTATTGCCAAAATATATGAACAGACAAGTCACAAAAAGGAAAGATCAATAATCCTTAATTCTTAAACATATAAAAATAAACATAATCTTGATCATTAAAGAAAGGCAAATTGAAACCATAAGGACCATAACATACATACATGTGCGTGTGCGTGTGCGTGTGTGTGTGTGTGTGTGTGTGTGTGTACACAGAGACACAGAGAGATTATTTTTTTTTAATTCATCCTCATAAGACAGCCAGTAAGCCTTTCCAACCCTGAGGTTGGTGGGAAAGGGGAAATACAAACGTAATTGTCACCATTATGTCATTTTTGTTACTGAAAATTGGTAAAGGAAAAGAATTACATGTTTACCCTTAATAATATACAGCAAAAACTATATTTATATAAACTATTTGATAAAGGAAAGCTCTTCTTTACAGAAAAATTCTACATAATAAATGCAGAAATGATCAAATAAGAAATATCACCATTTTGTAATCTCTTATTAAACAGGTGATTCAGACTAAAACCATCAATGGATGCTAAAACACACTCAAGCCTCTAATCAATCTTAGGATAACTGATATAAAACCATACATTTTCAGTACCCTAATTTAATACGAAGTACACAGCATCACTTATGAAATAACCTTGTCAAAATGTTTAACCTAAATTGTATCAAGCCTTTAAATCTGACTTCTAGTTTACAGAAAATACAGGAAATAAAATAAAATAAACAAATTACAAAGTATATGAAAAAAATAGGTAAATCCGAAAAGTGGAACCTTCTACAGAAAAACTGATCCAGTTTGTTCAAAATATTAACAGCACAGAGAAAAAACAGTGGCAGGGGTAGGTTGGTATTGTCATACAATGGACTATCACCCAGAAATGAAAAGGAGTGGAGTACTGTTACTGTTACATGCTATAATATATTCAGATTCCAGGGACTAGGACACAGACACCTGCAAGGGGCCAGTATTCTGCCTATCAGAATAAAGCTGTTAAAAATAAGTAAATAAAAATTTTTACGGTCTGGCCGAGTGATGTGTTGGTTAAGAGTTGGTTTGGGAAACCAACTCTGAGCAGCAGGGCTCCGGTTTGGATCCCACATGAGGGCCAGTGACGCTGTGCCCTCTACAGCTAAGATGGTGAACAACAGCTCGACCTGGTGCTGGGCTGTCGTGAGTGGCCGGCCATGGCGTAGGCTACAGTGAAGCTGCAGTGGGCTGCCATAAGCTACTGTGAGTAGCTGGCAGCGAGCATGAGCTGCCAAGAGCCGCCGTGAGCGGCCATCCAATGGCTGGCGAGCAATCTGCCTCACCCGGGAAGAGCGCAATGATAATACCAACATGGGCCAGTGAAGCGACGTCCTCCACAACTAGACTGAAGAACAAAAGGACAGCAACTAGTCTGTTCCCCTCCCCCAATTCCCCAATACAAAAATCTTAAAAAAAAAAAAAATTTTGCAATCTAGATATTGAGTATATATGGGAATTCAATATTCTAGTCACTCTACATTATTAAATGCCTGTCAGTTTTCATAACAAAGAATTAAAAGTGAGATATTGGTTTTTATCTATCAAACTAGTAAAAGTCAGAGTCTAAAAATGCATTAAATTGACAAAGGTGTGGGAAAACATACCTTCTCAGGCATTGCTGGTAGGAGTATAAATTAGTACAACTTTCATGGAGCACAGTTTGACAAAATCTACCAAAATCACAAATGCATATATGCACTTTGACCCAGCAATTCTGCTTTCTAAATTAGATATATATTTGTATGCATGAGAAGTGATGGATGCAGCACTATCTATTATAACAAAAGACTGGAAACAATCTAAATGTCCACCAATAGAAAACTGATTAAATATATGCTATGTGTACTCTGCAGCCATTTAAAATAAGGCAGTTGTGTATATGCTTATATATACAAGATATATTTTTCTTAACTGTGAAAACAAAGCAAGGAGACATCAATGAAAAAAGAAAAGGCAAAGTATAAGTATTATGTCACCACTTACGTTTCAACAATTTTGTAAAACTACATGATATATATACGAGGTCAGACAATTAAGTTCATGAACTCATCCTAGAAAAAAGTGCTACATACCTCATTGCTGAATATCACTATGGTCACCTTCGAAGTACTCCCCTTGGGAAGCTATGCGCCCATGCCAGTACCTAGTCCACCCTTCAAAGTAATTTTGGAACTTTTTTTCTGGAATGGCCATCAGAACTCTCCTCATATTACCCTTGATGTCCTGAATGTCATCAAAATGTCTTCCTTTCAGTATTTCCTTTATCTTCGGGTAAAGAAAGAAGTCATTGGGGGCCAAATCAGGTTAGTAGAGAGGATGTTCCAATACAGTTATTTGTTAACTGGCTAAAAACTCCCTCACAGGCAGTGCCATGTGAGCTGATGCACTGTCGTGATGCAAGAGCCATGAATTGTTGGCAAAAAGTTCAGGTCGTCTAACTTTTTTACGCAGCCTTTTCAGCACTTCCAAATAATAAACTTGGTTAACTGTCCAGTTGGTACAAATTCATAACGAATAACCCCTCTGATATCAAAAAAGGTTAACAACATCATTGCAACAGGTTCGCGAACTTAATTGTCAGACAGCGTATGCTTAAATAAACTTGTACAAAAGAAACTGCTACTGGGAATCACCTCTGAAGAAGGGAGGTGGCTGAGTAGGAGAAAAGAAAGAGAAAAACTTATTTACTACTTTTCATACCTTTTGGACTTTCTGTTGGTACATGTATGATAAACAGACAGGTAGACGATGGATGGATGGATGGATGGATGGATGGATGGATGGATGGATGGATGGATGGATGGAACATTAAAAAATATTTTTTTAAAAATGGGCATATCACACAAGTTTATGCGGTCTTCTATATGACTTTTCAACCTCCAAGTGATCTCTTACCTGCTGGTTGGTGCAGGAAAAGAAAAGGAGAGAAGCTGATTCCAGAACGGGTCATTCTCGGAGACAGATTCTGTGCCTGATAACTTTTTTAAGTATTCATTCTTAGGAAGATCATCAATTCTGCTGCTGTTTGAACCCATCTTCTAACCTGGTAGAATACTTGTCCTTAAACCTTCATTTCCACACGACAACCTATAAAGAATGAAAAGAAATTTCAAACTTGTTCAAAATAATCACCATACTTTTCCTACCCTTGACCTAAATGTAAAAACTATAAACTTACCAAAGGACATCACACCTCTATTTTTAAATATATTAGACATCAGATACAAAGTTACAAGGAGAAAAATGGGGCTAACATCTGTCTTAGCCAACGCAAACACAAAACTCGGAATCTATGCTTATAGATCATAGAATGGGCACTCCTCACTCCCCTAGGCAGCAACAACAGGGTGCTACCTGCTGAGAAGAGTGAAGGCAGTGCCCAAGGCAGCTGACGTGCCCAGGAAAAACAAGTTCAGCCAAGTGAAAATAGCCACTGAGGCACTCTGGCCAGAAAGTTCTACCTGCTCCTCATCCTCACAGAAAGCAAAGTAGAAAATTGAGGCCCATGGCATCTCTTCTGCAATGAGTCATGCCAAACACACACGACCTGGACCTAACTGATACGGAACTCCCAAGACTCTTACCAATGAAAACTAGAATAAAATGGAACTTGCAAAACCTACTATCCAAGCACCCCACTTCCTAAGAGTCCTATTGCTTTTCCCTCTCACTGTGCCTCAGAAGACTTCCTTGGCTTTCAGCTCTTGTTTCTCTCTTTTGTCAGTAACTGAGCCTATCTCCTGGTTTCATTAGTGAATTCCATGATATTACTTTCAAATCTCTCCTAGTCCCAACCTCTGACCAGAATGCCAGTTCTATTTATATCTCTAAAATATTTAAAAGGGCCGGCCGAGTGGCTCAGTTGGTTAAGAGCTCGCTCAAGAGTTTGAGCTCTGAGCAACAGCGGTTCGAGTCCAGCCCGAGCTGAGCAGCCACTGAGCTGCCAACAGGTAGCAGGATGGCTCAGCTAAAAAATATATATATATATATATATATTTAAGACTTTTTTAAACTCAAGGATAATATATTTTATATAATTATGTGATGATGATTTTATATATATATATATATATATATATATATATATATATATATATATATATATATATATATATATATATATATATATATATATATTATGAAGCAGTAATTTTGTGGATAACAATGTGCCTTACATAAGCCTGGACGAGAAATGAGAAACATGCTATTGCTGATGCTTTTAGTAGTAAACCTATCAAAAGACCTGTCTGTAATGCAATGTAATCAAGAACTCGATCTAGGGCCGGCTGAGTGGCTCAGTTGGTTAAGAGCTCGCTCAAGAGTGTGAGCTCTGAGCAACAGAGTTGTTGGTTCGATTCACGGTCCCAGCTGAGCTGCTGCTGAGCTGCCAACAGGTGGCAGGATGGCTCAGCTAAAAAAAAAAAAAAAAGAACTTGATCTTAACATGTATAAAACATTTCATCCTCCTTCCCAAAACCAGCCTCCCCTCTCTACTTCCCACTACTGCCTTAAAGTTCCCTTTATGTAAAAACTACCACATTATTTTTTTGTAGTATATATAATATCTCTCCTGAGGTAGATTATTCCTGAATAATAATTTAAAGTAAAAAAATATTGTTAAATAAATGAATTTTCTCTTTTTACCTGCTCTCCTTCATGAAGAATCTCACTGTGTGTCTTGTGCTCTGAGTGACTCCGGAACTAATATTTTGTCCTGACTTCTCAGTAAAAACCCAAACATAAATCTTTACTTAATGGACATTTCAATTTGATATCTTTCTATCATCATAGATTTTAAAAGAGATTTTATATTTGTCCCCTCAAATAAGCAACCCCTATAAAAGTCACTATTTCTATCAATGTTATCAACATTCTTGGCTCAAGTTATCTCACTCACATAATCAACCATTCATTCTATAAATACCTATTACACACTCACTATAAATGCTAGGTGTTATGCTGGGCACTGAAAATGCAAAAATGAGTAAGATTTTCTCCCTGCCATTAATGAACTCAAAGCCTACTTAACGCCAATATGGTAAGTATCACAATGGAGCTATTTATACACAAGAAGCTATGGAAATACAGGTACTTGCATATAGAAGCATCTGAGGCGGAGGGAATGGTATATGCAATGGCACTTTTACTTAGTCCATTTACTTATATGATCTATATGCCAGAAACTACTCTAGGTGATTTACAATAACTGATTCATTTACCAGTAATCCCCCCTTAAAAACTCTAAGAGGTGGCCACAATTTTCTCATTTTACAGATGAGGAAACTATGGCACAGACAGGTTAAGTCACTTCTCTAAGATCCCAGAGATAGTAAGTGACAAACGCCGGATGTGAACCCAGGCAACCTAATTCCAGAGTCTCTGGTCATTCCCGTTCCAATAGGGTGACTCTCCAATTATATCAGCAAGTCCTTTGGGTTCTACAACATCCACAATTCCACATAACATCGTTTAGATCCATGTCTTCCTTTATATTCCCGCTGCCTCCATGCTAGACCAGGCTTCTATCTCACATGACTTAGTGCGACAGTATCTGGATCTCTTTGCTTCCGACTTAGTGCGACAATATCTGGGTCTCTTTGCTTCCAGTCTTCCCACTTGGACTCACTTTGAACACTCCACTACTGTATGACTCCTTAAAAAAACAGCCCAGCATTGCAATGAAAACCAAAGGTCCTAGCATGAGACAGACCATGCGAGGTCTGTCTAGAGTCCGTCTGAATCTCCACTTTGCTGCTTATAAAACCCCACGGGGCCGGCCGAGTGGCGCGATGGTTAAGAACTGGCTTGGGATGCCAGAGGGCCCAGGTTCGGATCCCACATATGAGGGGAGGGCCAATGACACTGCCCTCTACAGCTAAGATGCTGAACACCAGCTCAACCTGGAGCTGGGCTGCCATGAGTCGCCGGCGACGGCGTAGGCTGCAGCCCCTGTGGCAGTGGGTTGCCATGGGCTACCGTGTGTAGCCAGCAGCCAGCATGAGTGGCCAGCAGCCGCAGTGAGTGGCCGTCCAGAAGCCGGCAACTGATCTGCCTCGCCCGGGGAGAGCGCAATGATGGTGCCAACTTGGGCCAGTGAAGCAACGTCCTCCACAACTAGACTGAAGAACAAAAAGACAGCAACTTGTCTGTTCCCCTTCCCCCAAATCCCCAGCACTGTTCCCATCCCCCCAATTCCCCAATAAAAATGTTAAAAAAAAACAAAACCCCACGGCATAACAGGAAAACGAACAGTACTTACAACTCAAGATTTCCTGAGGATGAAGCAAGATGACCCACGCAAAGCATTCTGTGAAGGACTAGGCACAGAGTATGCTTAGCCAAATGTAAGGTCAAATATAGCTTATTTTTAATATTAGCAGAATTACCACTTCCATCATTTCACTCGCCAGCACAAAAACATATAATGATTCTTCATTACCTAAAAACCAGAATACTGACATTCAAGACTCTCCACAGTCTGAAAGGTCACTTTCCAACTTTATTCCCAACTATCCTCCAAACCAGTGGTTCTCAAACTGAAATGGATGTCAAAAACGCCTGAGGAGCAAGTGGTTAAAAATGCAAATGCCTGGGCCACCAAAGTTCAGACTGTCAGGGTAGGGCCCAGGCATCTGCATTTTCTAAAAAGTATTCACAGTGCTTTTGATTAGTCTGTGAACCTCAATTTGCAAGTAAGTGCATAACAAAGTAGAAGCAAGCTATCTTCTCAACATCTAGCACACTCATCCACACCTCTGCTCCTGCCCTTCTTGCCTGCCGTCTACTGCCACATCTGTGCCACAGCGCCTTAGACCCTAGTCACTAAGCTCAGAGTTCTCTCTCTCCTTCTCCGTAGTCCTAGAGCACTCATTACCCTTCTAATAATGCCTTGTTTTGCTCTCTGGCTCTTATACTGCTATTTAACTTTTTAGATTATTCCTCAAGTCAATTTTACCATCATGGGTGAAAATAATACTGTGAACAAGAAATGATAGGCCCAATATTTTGTATTTTGTGAAATATCTGATGTATACATAAATTTAAATCTCCTCTTTATGTGTACTGATTCACTGTCACCTGATTTAATGTGCCTTAAATGGAGAGTGAATATTAGGGGATCTGAAAATATATGATAACCAAATTCTGTCCTAACACCCTCAAAATATGCAAATGATACCCACGTGCACTCTGCCCCAACTTATGTTGAGAATCCATTGATCAGAAGCTATATTCCCAAATCATCGGCTTCCTGATAACACACATACACACACACACACACACACACACACACACACACAATTTGTAATCAAGAGACTTTAAGACGAAACCTCATAGTTGAAACAGGAGAGCAGAGAAATACTGGGCAATGGTCACTAGCTAAAGGCCATGTTAAACACCACAGGTGCCACTAATGGAACATTCTCTAAAAGGTTACTATGTTCCAAGTGCTATATTAAGTACAGTTGGGTATTCCACTCCAGTGAAATGAGAGTAATGAAAATAAAAAGATATAAGCCCACAAATATAAAATCAAAGGTGTGGAAGATAGAAAGGTGACAAGAAGGGTAGTAACGGAACTGGCAGAGCTGAGGACACCCCAACACAACCTCCTGCCAAAGAGGACACTAACAAGATGCAAGTCAATCCACCCCATGGAACCCTGGGAAGGCAAAACAGCTGGAAAAACACCATGGAAAACGGGGGCAAGGTGCAGGCCTAACACCCATGGATTTCCCTCTCCCCATCCCCAAGTGGGAAATCATGTGTGTGCTCTCTGTAGAAATCTGACTGTACAGACTGGACTCTGAAGCCAAGGCTGGGAAGTGTAATGAGGTAGAAGATGAAAACAGGAGAATGAAGTTAAAATGTGCTTGCTCCAGTTACACATTGGAGGTGGGCTTCCCAGCCTCCAAGGCAGGAGATTGGAGGATTCATCTCAAGAGAAACTGAAGGGGAACCCAAGGAAAAGATACAGATACTTGGGATTACCCCCATTTAAAAAGCTGGCTAGCCACCTACAGCAATGCCTACCACTCAACAAAATCCACTCACACAGAGCGCTTCTAATCAATTTTGGGAGTCTCAAT